TCAGCAGGACCGGCAACAAGAGAACTCTAGGAGCTGAGGCCCAGGCTAAGCCTTTAACCTCAGCTTTCCTTCTGCCTGCTCCAGAGTCCATTTCAGGAAAAGTCCGGGCAGGACGTGGAGCAGGAAGTGGGGCAGGAAATGGGGCCTCCCTCATTCGAGATGCTGCGGAGTCTGGAGACAGGTGTACCGAGGCTGGAGGAATTAGGGCGCCTCATACTCTCTGGAGACCCCACCTCAGCTGCCAGGGTCAGGGCAACTCTGCCAACCCAGACCTGTCTCATTCCAATACCCTACCCCCGCAGGACCCCAGGACCTGGTCACTCAGGATCGGGGGCAGAGCTTGCTACAAGGCCTGTAACCCGGATGCACTATTAGATAATTAGCGCTCTGAGGTCAGGGTCTTGGCTTTGTCATTGTCACAGGCCTGATGCCACAGCAGCATTGACACTGTCACATTTGCTGAATATACATGAGGAGGACAAGGAAGGGGCTCTCTAGCTCTGGAGAAAGTGGCTGAGGCCCCAGATACCAGAAGGAAATTCCTGGCCATTCAGATGAGACCCCAGACTTAGGGGTCAGGCTGGGGTATGAGGATGGGGGGATGGTGGGGGGGTGGGCAGGACCCTGACCTCTGCCCCTGCCCCTCCACCTGCAGCATGGTTTCCCAGGGCTCTCCACCCTCCCTGCTGGAGGCCCTGAGCAGTGACTTCCTGGCCTGCAAGATCTGTCTGGAGCAGCTGCGGTCGCCCAAAACACTGCCCTGCCTGCACACCTACTGCCAGGACTGCCTGGGCCAGCTGGCCAAGGGTGGCCATGTCCGCTGCCCCGAGTGCCGCGAGACTGTGCCTGTGCCGCCGGCAGGTGTGGCAGCCTTCAAAACCAACTTCTTTGTGAACGGGCTCCTGGATCTGGTGAAAGCCCGGGCTTGCGGAGACCTGCGTGCTGGGAAACCAGCCTGTGCTCTCTGCCCCCTAGTGGGGGGCACCAGCACCGGGGGACCAGCCACAGCCCGGTGCCTGGACTGTGCCGACGACTTGTGCCAGGCCTGTGCAGATGGGCACCGCTGCACTCGCCAGACGCACAGCCACCGAGTAGTGGACCTGGTGGGCTACAGGGCGGGCTGGTACGACGAGGAGGCCCGGGAGCGCCAGGCAGCCCAGTGCCCGAAGCACCCGGGGGAGGCACTGCGCTTCCTGTGCCAGCCCTGCTCCCAGCTGCTGTGCCGAGAGTGCCGCCTGGACCCCCACCTGGACCACCCATGCCTGCCCCTGGCTGAGGCAGTGCGTGCCCGGAGGCCGGGCCTTGAGGAGCTCCTGGCAGGTGTGGACAACAACCTGGTAGAACTGGAGGCTGCCCGGATGATGCAAAAGGAAGCTTTGACTCAGCTGCGGGAGCAGGCAGCCAGGGTGGGGATGCAAGTGGAGGAGGCAGCCGAGGGGGTCCTCCGGACTCTCCTGGCCCAGAAGCAGGAGGTGCTGGGGCAGCTGCGGGCCCATGTGGAGGCTGCTGAGGAGGCTTCTCGGGAAAGGCTGGCAGAGCTAGAGGGCCGGGAGCAGGTGACCAGAGCAGCAGCTGCCTTTGCCCGTCGGGTGCTCAGCCTAGGTCGCGAGGCCGAGATACTCTCACTGGAGGGGGCCATCACCCAGAGGCTCCGGCAACTACAGGACTGCCCTGGGATGCCGGGGCCAGCCCCCTGCCTGCTGCCCCAGCTGGAGCTCCATCCTGGGCTCCTGGACAAGGACTGCTACCTGCTTCAGCTCTCCTTCAAGGAGCAGCAGCCGCAGAGGGACAGTGGGAAGGATGGAGCTGGTCCCCAGAGAGGGGATGAAGCCCATAGCCAGAGGGAGGAGGGAGCCAAGATGGAGAGGCAGAGCAGAGTCCAGCCCCAGTGCAGGGACAAAGCCCAGATGCCAAAAGAGGACAGAGCCCAGATAGCTGAAGAAGATAGAACCCAGGCCCCCAATGAGGATAAAGCCGAGGTGTCCCAAAAAGATGGAACCGAGACCCCAAAAGAAGAGAGAGCCCAGACGCCCCAAGAAAATGGAGGAGCCCAGCTGCAAAAGGGTGGCAGAACCAACAAGAAAAGAAAGTTCAAAGGCAGGTTGAAGTCGATCTCCCGGGAGCCCAGCCCAGCACCTGGGCCAAACCTGGAAGGCTCTGGCCTCCTCCCTAGGCCCATCTTTTCCTGCAGCTTCCCCACACGGATGCCTGGAGATAAGCGATCCCCCCGGATCACTGGGCTCTGTCCCTTTGGTCCCCGGGAAATCCTGGTGGCCGATGAGCAGAACAGAGCGCTGAAACGCTTCTCCCTCAACGGTGACTACAAGGGCACGGTGCCAGTGCCGGAAGGCTGCTCCCCGTGCAGTGTGGCCGCCCTGCAGGGTGCGGTGGCCTTCTCAGCATGTGCACGGCTCTATCTCATCAGCTCAGATGGCGAGGTGCAGTGGCGCCGAGCCCTGAGCCTCTCCCAGGCAAGCCACGCTGTGGCTGCGCTGCCGAGCAGGGACCGGGTGGCTGTTAGCGTGGCGGGTCATGTGGAAGTGTACAACATGGAAGGCAGCCTGGCCACTCGGTTCATCCCTGGGGGCAAGGCCAACAGGGGCCTGCGGGCACTGGTGTTCCTGACCACTAGCCCCCAGGGCAATTTCGTGGGGTCAGATTGGCAGCAGAACAGCGTGGTGGTGTGCGATGGGCTGGGCCAGGTGATTGGGGAGTACAGCGGGCCAGGGCTGCATGGTTGCCAGCCAGGCTCCGTGTCCGTGGACAAGAAAGGCTACATCTTTCTGACCCTTCGAGAGGTCAACAAGGTGGTGATCCTGGACCCCAAGGGGTCACTTTTGGGTGACTTCCTGACGGCCTACCATGGCCTGGAAAAGCCCAGAGTGACCACCATGGTGGATGGCAGGTACTTGGTCGTGTCCCTCAGTAATGGGACCATCCACATCTTTCGGGTTCGTTCTCCTGACAGTTAAAGGGACTGGGACAGGTGTGGGTGGGGAAGGGGAGGGCAGGAGGGAAGCGTAGCTGCCACGGGATGTGGTAGCATCTTCATGGGAACCTAAGGGCATTTTTCTGTAGGGCAGGGACTGGCAACTTTTCAGTGGGGAATACCAAACTTCTAGCCCTCTTCTGGTGTACAGAGAGGGACCCGAGGGTGACGGCATGGCCATAACTCTCAGAAGCAGAGTAGGGGCTGGAGGGGCGCAGGGATTCATCAGCCTCGTGGATTTTATGGGTGACCACTACTGCCATTGATTCTGCTCTGTACTTTAGGGTTCTGAGATTTATAAACTTGACCCGATTCGCATTCTTCAAAGCCATTCCTGATGGAGTAGCCAAGGAAGTCTGGAGGAGGTGGGCAAAAGTAGTTGGGGCCACGAAGGGCCCAGAGTAGGTCCGACACGTGCATTCTGGAAAAGAGCTAAGAACCTGGCTCCTCTCAGACTGGCACAGGAGCACGTGGGGTCAGAAGGGGCCTGCAATTTCGAAATGGCCATAAATGACATCTTTGCCACCACAGTCAGGAAGCAGAGGCTCTCCTAGTGAAGCACAGGCTGGGCTTCATGTGGGAACAAGTGTAGTTACCAGCTGAAGCCAAGCAGTACTTGCCTCAAAGGGTTCAAAAAAAAACAATTTACAGGAAGACCACATCTGGCAGGGTTGCTGTCTAATAAACCAGGTCTGGGAGCTGGCGGGTGGCGTGGCGTGGTGTGGCATGGCGCTGGACTCCCACATGGCCAACCACGGTTGGAGTCCCGGACCTGGTGGCTTGCTTTCTCTCTTTCTCTCTCTCTCTTTCACGCTGTCCATCTCTGGTCAAATTAAAATAAATAAATAAACTTAAATAAAAATAATTCTTAAAAAAAAAATCAGCTCTGAGTATCAGAGAAGGGGACCATGCCCCCTGCCAAGTTGACCCAAGGCAAGACCTAAGCGAGATGTAAAATCTTGATGCTTCACTTCTGCTTTGATGTCTTTACATTTCTTGGAATCTATTTTTTTTGTTTTTCCGTTGTTTTTGAGCAAAATTCCTTTTGAGAAATGTTGGCCTTCACTTAGCTAAACTAAGGGGTGAAGAAATTTGTCCCTCTGTGGTCACTACTACTAGAGAAAATGGTGGACCCCAAGGGACAGGGGTGGGTTTGGCGGTGCCAAGCCAGCAGGAAAACCTGAGAAGCGGGCAGCCGGCCCAGGATGGGTGGAGGTGTAAAACACAGAGTGCTCCAGCTGGAGCTGTGCAGAGACCACTGGTGCTTTTTATGGTGGTGACATCGGTGGAATTGAGGCGGTTGAATAGGCTGTTAGGGTATGTCTAGCCAGGGATTGTCGAGAGATAATGGAAAGGATCTTAATGTAGGGATCATGGATGTGCTGGAGCATTCGTGGGAACCAGAGGGATTTTGGACAAGGCCAAATGGAAAGTGCAGGGTGTTCGGGGTAAGGGAAAAGAAAATCCTTTTCTAAGAAGGCCATCCTTGTTTATTGAAACATTGGGGAACTCATCAAAGTCCAGGTGGACAAATCCAATTACGTGTGAATTTAAATTGTATGCACAGCACAAAATAACGGAGATGGGAAGGAAACCAGTAAGATGAGAAATGACGTCGAATTGATTTGGTGAGGAAGAGTTCACTTTGCAATATATGCAGTGACTTGGAGACCTGTTTGGTGGGACCAGCCAATGGCATAGTGGTGACATCGCTGGACTGCCATATGGCCGATTGTGGTTTGAGTCCCAGACCCAGTAGCTTGAAACTCGCACCAGGTGCATGCGTGTGTGTGTGTGTGTGTGTGTATGTGTGTGCACACGTGTTCCCAGGATCCCGAGGGAATGGAGAAGGGATTGCAGCATGGCCATCCCCCCCTTGGGGGTGACTTCTCACTCCCCGTCTGTCTCTGTCTCTCTCTCTTCAGTGAACACACGCACCCTAAGGCAAAACCTCTACCAAAAAAAAAAAAAAAAAAACACCCTATTTGGTCAAAGAATCAAATAGGCTATGAAAGCCAGGAGGGAATGCATACAGACAGGGACTAGTAAAACGAAAAGAAAGACAAAACAAAATAAAACCACTTGCATTTGTCAAAAATAAATTTTAAAAATATGTTATGGAGAAATAGACTCCTGGCACTATAAAATGATGCTTCGTGTAGAACAATTTGGCAATTCTAGCCAAGGGTTTTAAAACAGTTATGACAAGAATATGTTATCTTAGCTTGGGGAATACATTCTGGGAAAATAATTCAAAAGAAAAATATTTGCATAGAGACATTTATGACTGTCCTATATATTACAGTCATTAACTGGAAACTGCTCAACTGGGCGGGGAGCAGCTAAGCAGATTGTGGTCTGTTAGGGATGAGCTACTGCCTTCGTATATGACAACTATGACAATTATTTCGAAGAAATAGTTCTGTGATGTAATCATAAGCAAAAATGTTAGAATCTGGAATTGTTACAATGATAGCAACAATTAAAAGTCTATCTGAATAGTTAACAGGGGAGACGGGCTTAGAATTTGTAAATAGCATTTTGGAAGATTGTGTTCTTGAGTTATTTTGTGCTGTTACTCATATATGCACATTTCTACTTCTGTCATTATTATCCATTTTATAACATATGCTTGAATGTTTACTTCAGGAAAATACACCTCTATAAATGATAGTAATAACTACTGGATTCGAGGATGGTGATACCACCATCAGGACAAAGGAGATTGTCCTGTGAGAGAAGAGGCAGGGCCAGGGGAGACCAGAGAAGAGGAGAACCCCAGCTGGTCAGGGATTAGCAAGGAAGAATGACCAGGGTGGGCAGGGTGATGGAGCAAGCTACTACCCCGGGAAGGATTGCAGAGGCCAGTGACTGGATTATTGTGGGGTGTCCAGAAGTCGGGTAGTCTTGCCAAGTTCTAAGTAACTCAGACCAGCTGGAAACCAAGTGGTGGTTCTGCAGAACCAATTAGTATAGGATGAGTTGCACAAGGGTAGGTAAGGTGTCCATCTGCATTGCAGCTCTACCTGCAGAGCTAGCACAGCGATACCTCATAGTAGGTGCTCAATAAATGTCTGTGAGATTAAACTGATATTGGAAAAGAAAGAAGACAGTGGTATGACTCTTTCCAGAGATGTCCCACCTGAAATGCAGTAGCCCTAGCCTAACAAGCTGTCCAAAATCTTGATTTGTGCAAAATCTCCAGTAGGGGGCACTGTGGACACAGTCCACCTTAAGCCTGCCAAGACTGGGCTCCACTTCAAAAAGATGAGATGGAGATGTCTGGTGTATGTGGAGGGAGTAACTGGATGTCATGGACTTCCATAGTGGGGTGGGGGGATTGTTTCCCTTTGGTTGAAACAGTAGCTCTCTGGAGTTCACAGGAACCCTGGACAGAAGGCCTGATTAGGAAAATAGCTTTAGCCAAGTGGCTCACCCAGAGGCAAAACAGAAACAGAGACTTTCAGAGATGAAACAGCACCTAACTGTAGCCAGAGAATCTGACAGGTGCTCTGGAGGTGGAGGAACCAAGTGGCTTCCCAGGAAGCTCGGTCCTGAGAAGCCAGGCATTGGAAGTCAGAGGGAAATACTAAATTTTCTTTATAAGGAGAAGAGATGAGAAAGAAGGTACAGAACACTGGCAAAATGTGAAAGGTGGATGGGAAGCGTAGTATCGAGCCCATTTGGGGGTAAAATCCTCAATACCTTTATGGTGACCTGGGAATCCTAGTGGATCTCACACCATGCAGAAGGGAGAGAGAGTTCGTGGTTAAACTAGAGATGCTAAGAAGTCTGGAATGTTGAGAAAGATATGATAAAACCCCCACCTTGGGACCAGCAAGGACTGTAGTGGTTACAACACTGGACTCCCACATGGCCGGCTGTGATTCGAGTGCCAGACCAGTGGCTTGAAACTTAAGCCAGGGTGCAAGTGGATGAATACCCCAGATCCTGAGAGGAGAATGGAGGAGAAGGGACTGCAGCATGGTGTAATTTCTCATTTGCTGTCTCTCTGGTGAGTGCATACACCCTACAGCAAAAATATCTCTCAAAAAACCCAAACACCTTGGGACCAGCAGTTAGCGTAATGGCTATGTCGCTGGACTCCCACGTAGTCGACTGCGGTTCGCGTCCCGGACCCGGCGGCTTAAACTCGTATCGGGCGTGTGTGCGTGCATGCCCAGGATCCCAAGCGGAGAATGGAGGAGAAGGGATTGCAGTGTGGCCATCCCCCCGGGGGGTGATTTCTCACTTTCTGTCTCTCTCTCTGTCTTTCTGGCAAGCACATGTGCCCTGTAGCGAAAACCTCTCAAAACAAAACAAGACAAAACAAAACACCTTCACCCCACATGGGACTAGGACAATTAACTGTTTTTTCTTCTTCTTTTTTTTTAATAATTATTTCATTTAACTTTATTTATGTGTTTATTTTAATTTGACCAGGGAGGGAGACACATACACACACACACACACAGAGTGAGAGAAAAAGTGAGAAAGCAAGCCCCCAGGTCCAGGACTCAAACCAGGGTCTGCCATGTGGGAGTCCAGCACCCTTAACCACCACATCACCTACTGGCCCCACAATTAACTGTACTTTTTCCAGTTTGAAACTCGAGATTTGCATGGACTGCGGAAAGAGAATTCTGTTCAGGTAGGGTATGCTGAGAAACACGAAGAGGATGAGGTAGCAGAGAGCTGGGTAAAGTGCTGGCTCTTCTACTGAATAGCCGCATCATCTTGGTCTGGGTCCTTACCCTCTCTGAGTCTCAGTCTGTACCTCAGTTAATGGGGATAATAATATGCGCCGTGCCCACCTCACGGGGGTCTTGTGAGGACTGAAGGAGAAGTGTAGAAGTATTGTATGCACCGTAAAGCACAGATCCAAGCACTGGTTACGAAAAAGTTCAGCTGATTTGTACTGATCTAATACTGCCCCCCAGCAGTGTAAGCTTGAATGGGATGCTGTGTGCATGTATTGCGAGGTTAAGCTCGAGAACATCTAGGTAGAGCTGCTACGTGCACATCATCCTCTCCTTTGGAGGAGAATGTCTTGCTTTGCTTTCCAGTAGTTACGTGAAGAAGCCATATTTTGAAGACACAGTGATAGTGGAAGCAGAGGGACCAATGGCCAGCTTGCTAAGATCCATGCCGTTTCTAAAAGCCAGCTGAGAATCAGATTGTACCAATTAAGAACTGATAACCTTAGGTATTTTCAAAAAGTTATAAACAGCAAGAGTGGTCCAATCTTTCAATAGCATATAGAAAATATATTTTGGGAGGGTCTAGCTCTCCTTCCACTGTAATCTTATTTTTACTGTATC